ATTTACAATAAATGTTAACATTTCTTTTCCCTTTTAGTGCTAAATCAGAAGTTTTCTCACCCTGGTTGCATTTTTTTCTCCAGCTGACTGTTTTCCACTTTCACCATTCCTGCCTCTGCTGGTGCCACGGCAACACTTCAAAGGAGAAGGTGGTCGGCGCTGCAGATAACACAAAGCACCCCTAACCCTCTAATCATTAAAGGGCCTTGGTAGACTCATTCACAGCTCCCTGACTGAGAGGTATGGCTGCTTGTTCTTGTTTCAGTTACTCTTCATTTGTTGCTTTTCTCTCTTGTCCTTTAGGGTCACATGTGTTGCACGTGAAATGCAAAGCAGGTTTTGTGGTTTTTTTATGACTGAAGTCATTTTCCCTTTCAGTAATCAGAATAAAATTTGAACTAGTCTGCAGCAGCTCAAGCTGCTAATAGCTCCAGCTTCAAATTGTCTTGTGATTTTAGAAGTTGAGGTTGCAGCTGGTTGGTGTAGAAAGCTGCGAGACTTCAAGGGAGAAGCGGTTGAGAAGGTGGGGCTGCAGAGGAAATGAGGCTGCATTCCAGCTCTGATTTATGAGGTGTCTTTTATTCTCTTTGTATGTCTGGCTGCTTTGCAGCTGTTTTGGAGCTCTCAGTGAATTTTGTGATGTTTCAATAACCTGGCATAGATTACATAATTACATGGGTATTCAAAAGTTACACTTGTGTGTGTCTGCTTTTACTTCCAGGTAAATCTAGGCTCCCTTTTCCACACATTTTAGCTGTTATTCTAAAGAGAAATGTCCTAATCAAAGCTTTTGTTTGGCACGGGTTGATTGCAACCAAAATGAAATGGGTTAATTCAAATCAGACAAGAAGTGTTTATATATATATATATATATATATATATATATATATATATATATATATAATCTGTATGACACTCCACCGCTGCTGAGTCAGAACATGTCAGCCTAACTGAGCTCAGAGTTCCCTCCAGAAATGGGAATCAAAAACGTTCCTACGGTCGGTGTCGGAATTATAATTAAACCAAGGTTTCGTTTTCTTTCTTTGAAAGTTTAGTGGATTTGGTCATCGTAAAAGAAAAGGATGTGTGAAAACAAATACATGAGAATGCTTTATTAAAGGTTATGATGACTTAATTACAGCTTTAATCTTGTGTTACTGTAACTCTATAGCTTTTACTTCCTTTTTAATCGGATTAGATAAATGGTTGTTTAATTTAGAACAACAAAAGTTGTTAAGGGTTTAACATTCAGCAACTAAGAAATATACCGATCACATTTCATCAAACAGATTCAGCGACATATTTAATAGTTCCGTTTTGAATGATCTACAATCAATAAAAAACTTAAAATAAAAAAAATTTGTGGTCCAATTTATTTATTTAGTCAATCATTCATGCAGAACTCACTCCAGTCCTTTTCTCTAGTAGTTCGTTCAATGCTACTCAATAATGGAGGCAGGATAAAGCCTAATTTATACTTCTCTGTCTGGGTTGGTTCGGAGACACGCAGCGCCGTTATGCGTTGGCACAAGAGCTCTCCAACGGGCTCGCAGAGGGTGACGGAGACTGCAAGCTTGTGATTAGTCAGGACACCGCTTCCTGTAAATTCATTAAGAGTGCGGCTTTTGCCCCCTCAAAAGTAAAAGATATTTAGTGGCAGACACGGAAAAGATTGAAGAATGCATGGTAGTAAAAGTCTGAAAATATGAACGTTAATTTACCCGTGACTGAAGGGGTACAAACTAGGGATGCACAACATATTGGCATCCATATCGGTATTGGCCGATGATGGTCATTCTTTAACATATCTGCATCCTGTTCGATAATAAAACTGGGCCAATACAATCGATATATTCTCTATCTTGTTTCCATTTGTGTATCTATTTTGGAGGGTGAGGAGGTGATAATGACAGTGATGGTAATTATCTCCTAGGGTAGTGCCCAGGTAGTGGTGGGGGTTGCCACCCTCCCTCCCAGGGCACCCTAGATTGGTGTCTTGGCTGCTGCCGTCGGTCTGCTGCTGTCGAGGCAGATGGCTCCCTTGATGGCTTGTCTTTCATTACCTGTCCAGTCTGAGCTCAGCCTAGTGTTTACCGTGGTCTTTTAATGTGTTATGTGGACGAATGTGTGTGTGTCTGTGTGTATGTGTGTGCCTGGGAATGGTTTGTGGATTGGGGGTGAAACTGTCAAAATTATTAAGTGTGGGAAAGGGAGGGAATGTGGGTTATGTGGGTCATTTTAATCTGTTAAGCACTTTGTGTTGCATCTTATGCATGAAACGTGCTTTATAAATAAAGTTTGATTTGATATCTCAGAAGCATGTGTGTGTATATAATAACCAATGATGGGAATAACGGCGTTACTAAAAAATGGTAGTTTTTTCAGTAACGAGTAATCTAATTACCGTCTTTTATCAGAACTGTGTTTCTGTTACTGATAAGAAAATGAGTGCGTTACTAATTCAGCAGCGTGGTGTGTTGAAGCTGTCATCAGCTGGTTGGGAGCTAAAGAGGCGGATGCTTTCATCCAAGCACATCACAGACTGTGAAGAACGACGGAGAAAGACGTGATGAATAGTTACGGCTGCAGATTTGTTGCTGCAGGCGTGGATCTGCAGCTGTGCCCTTCTTTGCGTGACAGCGGGACGTCCCAAATGTCCACTCACCTGTTCACCGCTCAGACGTCACAGTCTTCTACCTTCCTAGATCATCCAAATGTAGCCTGTTTCTGATCATGTCTTTATACCCGCTGTAACACTGGTTGCAACCAAGCCCCCACAATGCGGCTCTAAAATGGGCCCCAACCCGGAAGTACGAAAAATTGCAGTTCCACCCTCATCCACTAGGGGCTGGTGTCAGAAGCGAGCAAATCCTCATTGACTCCCATGTTAAAAATACCAATTTCACAGCAGAAATAAACATGTGTACAGCCTGGTACCAAAACATGTTTTTTGTCTAAATGATCTAGTTTACACTCATGACAACTCTGAGGGGGGTGAATTTTTTTCTCACTCTTCTGTTTAAGTGTATTGAAAGCCTAAAATTCTGTATAATTAATGAGCATCAGACCCACGTGACCACAGAGCTAGCTCCGTGGAAAGGCCTCAGTAGAGCCTCGGTCTGGCTTGGAAACTGTTCCGGGATTTTGAGTCTCTGTGTTTGTGAATTCTGTTTTGGATATTATTTGTGCAATTGTTGGACAAAATGACTTGCTGTGGCATTAATTGCACTATTAGAGCGTCCAAGGAGTCTCCACTTCATTTTTTTGGTAAGTAAAATTATATTTATGTATTTTAGGTCACTGCCGCCTTTAAACTAGCTGAGTTTATCGAAGTAGCTAGCTAACTATCATTTTAACATGTAGCACGTACTGTTTAACCATGAAATTTAGATTTAAAATACGGTAAAATAATTAATAGGGCATATTTAGATGGGTACAAGGGTAAAACCCAGTGCATTTAACATAAAAATGGGTTGAAATATGACGGAGCTCTTGGAGGGACACTTCTGTGCTCCATTCTTCCACCCGGTTCTCCCCGGCGGTCAGCCCGGTGCATGTCTGACCGATGCAGTGCCTACTAGCTGCTGCGCGGGCTGACCGCTCGTTGAGCTCTCGGACTCGTAGAGAGACCTGACCGCAGATATACTGCAGCTCAATTCCCAACCTAAATGCAAAGTTTGAGCGACGTGGTTCACTTAGGTCTGCACTTCCTTCGGGCTAATTTGTCAAGTTCACAAAATGTGGAACGGGATGTAAGGTTAGAATCAGCGGCGAATCGGAACATATCTCGAAGCCCTGGCGGACGAAACGGTCCATATGACTATTACTGTCAGGCTCGGAGAAAATTCGGGTTGTTTTTGTGTCAGTAATTCTGCAACAGTGACTCTAACGCAGAACTAGTTGACAGACATCATTACAGCGTGAAATCCAGCACAGCGTGACCCGGTTCTGTAAGGAATTCTGTTCAGGAGGTCGCATTTCAGGCTCTCCACATCATATGTGACTGACTTTTACGTTATAACAATGATCACACACTAGGAATGTTATAAAGCGCCTATATCTGACAGTTTCTTTTGTATATTATCTGACTTTATAAACTCCAACAACAATGTGCTTCTTTTTTTTTCAGGCTAAATCTACCCAAGACACTGGCTGTCAGACTGATTTAGCTGCAAGAATGCACTTGTCCAGGCTGACGTGAAGTCTTACCCGTAGCAAAGGTGAATTATTTTTAATAATCGTCTATGTAAACATTTTATTATTACCTTCTAGTGTTAATTTGTTTTGCAGATTATTGTTACACATGATTTTATGCTCTTTTAAACATTTGTAAATGTGCTGCTTATTTGTTTTTTATATAGCCACCCAGTTTAGAGCTCACAGCCGCTGTGTGTCTGGTGACACAGGGACCATGACGGAAATTCATCTTCCAGAAAGTCTGGCTCATCATTTAGCTAGATTTCTAAGGTATAGGCCAAAAATGATTAGGTTAGTTTTGATAAGGTCTGTGCATCTCTCATTTCATGACATGTCTGTCCCAGGTGGCAGCCGGGTGAGGGTGAGCGTGTTGGGGGGGGGGGGGGGGGGTGATGCTGAGGGTGGGTTACCTGGAGGTGTGGATGACGTTGGAGAGGCTGTGTGGGTGGGAGAAGGCTGCGGGGATGGGGGTGCCTGATGAGCCTGGGTGTGATGCAGGTGAGAGAGGGGACAGGGCAGAGGCCGGCTGGACGTGCAGCGGGCAGGGGGAAGCTTAAGCCTGGGTGGGTGGAGGTGGATCCAGGGCGGGCAGGGAGAGGTGAGACCTGGGCCTGGGCTGGTCGTCAGCGGCGTGCCACAGGCAGCTGATGGTGGTGTGGAGGACCAGCAGTCTCCAGCAGGTGATGGCGAAGAAGATGGCAGGAGAAGCAGCAGCAACAGCGGAGAGAGATCCGCGGCCGGAGACGCCAACGCACAGAGCGCAACACTGCAGGCGGGCAGAGTTACTCTGCCCCCGCACGTAAGTAATTGATCAGTGCCTGGCAGTGTTAGAGTTGCTCTCTCTCTGTGAGTGGTCTGGTGCCTGGGACCTATTTACTGCCGGAGCTGTGTGCCACAGGAGCCGGGCCGAGGAGGATTGGATCCACCGTGCGGCGATCCTTTGGTTCCCAGACGACGACGCCGGCCTTGGAGATTCCTTGGTCGAGAGCTCAGCAGGGCCGGACTGGACCGCCTTGTCTCTTGCGGCCCTGAGCACACTCGATTGAACGCTTTTTTCCCCTTGGCATCATCATCAGGGTTTTGTAATAAATGTACCTTTTTAATTTGCTTTGGCTGTCGCACTGCTTGCCTTGTTTTTTTAGAACCTATTTTAATCCTTTTAATATTAGTGGCACCTTCCATTCCACCTGGATCGTGTCACAGATACATAACCCAAACCAATATTACAATAACATAAACTCTTACACAAAACGCTCCTCTTGATAGAGCAAATCTGTTCAGCACCTTCTGACAGACAGACCACCTTTCTTCTGTCATGTTGCTGTACAGGACATTTTTAGAGTTTTTCTTTTTAAAGATGAATAGTATTACATTTAAAGAGCAATACTTTCACATGATCATTTTCCCACACTTTCTGTATACCAGTATTTTATTGTTTTTCAATAAAGAATGACAAATTATTTAAGTTGATGTTTTTTTTAGCACACAAATATATATCTGTAAAAAGTATCTACAAAGCTAATATTTACATAACAAGTATGATTTGGTTTTGGAATACAGCACTCTGTTTATTTTAGTAAGATTTTTAAACCAAGTAAAGTTAGTAAAGAACACATTTCTATTGGCTGCTAAGAAACTGTTGGACTTAAAACGGGCCTGTTGTAGAAACAACTTGGCATAAATGATTCTTCCTTTTTTGTCTTAACCAAAGAAATTCCAGTAATTGAGCAAAAACATTAATTTTTTTACGTCACATTTTATAAAATAACAGGACACAAAGTGTCGGGACATTTAAAAAATACTTAAAATAATAAAAGGGGCCCAGAGAGCTGCAGAGTGAGTGGAACATTGGGTTGTGAAGGAAGAACAGTTCTCAACAGTGTGACATGAGGGTGTAGAAGGTGAAGCCGTTGCAGGTCCTCCTTCATGTTGACCAGCTTCACACTGCTGACCACCCCATGTCATTGCCGCCACAGTGGATGAGAAGGGCATCAGGAGCTGCTCTTCCATGCATGGAGTTGAAAAAGAAGGGGAGAAGGTCTTTCCACCTCAGTCCGCCCCAACCGAACCAGGAGACACGGACGTCAGGGAGGCCAAGGTTGTCTCCGACGGTCTCTGCAGCTCTCTGGGCACCACGCCTCACTCAGCTGTCACCGATGATCCAAATGGCTATGGAGAAAAAAATAACAGGTTTGGCCTAGCTGTTTAAAGTACAAAACCATACATGAAGTGGTCAAGACAGGAACTTACACTTGCTGCGTTGTGTAGCTGATGTTGGAGACACACAGGCTGCCATGGTGACCTTTTAACAGATCTAAGAAAAAAATAAAATAAAAGAATGAAAATTAAAAACTCCCAGACCTCATGTCATGATTGCTAATCAGCTATGGCTGATTTATTGTTTGGATCACAGCAAGTTACACTAATTCTAATATAGTTTTATTTCTATTACACATACATACTTTTTAACTGTTATTTTCACATGACTGTTATCAGGCTGTCTTGTTCTGGTTCTCATGATAATAATTCTGTTTCTTCCGGTAAGTTATCTTGTGCTTACTTCATCTGTATAATGTCTCTTTACTTTTGGTGAATTATACTGAGTCCAGAATAAAGGCTACTTGGCTGTACACGATACAAACAAGTATTACGTTTTGGAAATATATTAAATGTATTTAGCCTGCTAATTTATCTCAAATACTAATAACTACCGCATTTTCTGGACTATAAATCACACTTTTTTCTTAGTCTGGCCGGTCCTGCTACTACGGAGCGACTTATATAACAAATTATGTAGGCTACACCGCGCTGCTGCGGGCCGACTCCGACCCAAGAATGAGTTCCCCGTCCCGCGGGGAGGGTTTCAAACACCGCCTTCCTCTGCTGGAGACCGTGGCGCGCTGCTGCGGCACATTATTCGGTTATTGTTACCGGTACTTGTCTTGCAATGTGAAACGCTTGGTCTCAGATTTTGTAAGAAAAATAAAATTTCCCCCCAAAATACGACTTATATATGTTTTTTTCTTCTTCATTATACATTTAATGGCTGGTGTGACTCAGGAGCGACTTAATAGTCCTGAAAATACGGTACGTGATAAATAGTGAAATCTTGCTCAAAGCAAAATATATTTTCATTACGGAAATAACTTAAAAACTTACAAATTTAATATTTTTTATTCACAGAAAGATACGGCTCATGAAAAAGCGCCGCAAACCTCCACCTGAACTCCATGCGGTCGATGGGTGTTCCACAGAGTTAGCTCCGGTTGTAGCTAGGTGGCTACATCCGTTAGCTCGGCTCCCACCTCCGCGTTAGCTTTGGGTTAGCCAGGGTTAGCTTCAGGTTAGCTTGTAGCTAGTTCGCCCGGGTGTCGTCACTCGATCCCAGCCTTACAGCCACACCCTCAGCTCCTCCTCTCTTCCCTTTTATGGAATTGTCTGGGCTGGACGGAACCTGTGACACTGTCAAAATGGCGGTGGTGGCCACCTCCCATTTTAGACCAAAAACTTGTTATTGGAGCCTATGGAATCGAATTGTCCAGTATATATGTTGATTGTTGCAACAGTATTGGACGTCATGGACGCTCAGGTGTTATTAGAACTACCTGTGTGTCTTTACCACCCAGCTTCAGCTCTTCTGTGTTTGGATCTGACCCAAGTTAGTAAACTTAAGTCCTCCTTCAGATTTGTGCCTCTTCTAGTGTCATTTTAAAGGACTTATTTTTTTGTTTAACCATTACTAGATTACCAGTAACAGAAATGCTACTGAAAACACACAATTATTGAAGATGGAAAAATTAAAATAAATAGACTGAGAGACCATTTAAAGGCTGAGGAACCTTTACGGGTGTTTCGCAGTTATAAATTTTAGCTGATTGGGGTCTTGTTAAATATCAAACAGTGATATTTTAATACTGTAGATTAATGTAATGTTCCTGTTTGTAGTTCCTCCTGTTAAGTGACCATTTATTTCAACTATTCAGTTTTATAAAAACATTTTGACACACTTTTTATTGTGTTCCAGTCCTTAGTCATTTATATTTCAGTATTTTAGTAAACTATAGTAAATTAAGTAAGTTTAACTAAGAGGGGAATCCATTTTTCTTGCATTCTTTAATTAAAAAAGTAACGAAATAGGTATTTATCTTGGTAATTAGTTACTTTTATAATCCTGTAACTCGGTAAGTAACTGAGATGAACAAAATAATCAGCAACTATAACTAATTAATTTTTAAAAGTAACATTCCCAACACTGATCACACACACACACACACACACACACACACACACACACACACACACACACACACACACACACACACACACACACACACTACTGCAAATTGCACATTATAGAAATAAAGCAAGACATTCAAAAATTCAGCTTACATCATTTTCAGTCTAAACAAAATCTTATATACAGGTATCAACTATTACTAATATAACTATCAGATATCAGTATCGGCCCAAAATTTCCTATCAGAACATCCGTAGTGCAAACAAATGCAGCAAGTGTTTTATTCCTGGACAGAAAATACAAGAAATGTGAGTTTAGGGGTGCCGATTGCAGAAATACCCGTACGTGGACCGGGTCCAATACATGACCGTTATGGTTAGGGTTAGGCAGGTAAAGGCCCTAATTGTGTTTCTATTAACAGAAGAGGACTGCTTGTGTTTGACAAAGGACCAATCAGAGCAACAAACAATGTGATGTATTCGCCACTAAATCAGTTAATGGGGGATACGTTGACGAAGAATAAAACAATGAATAAATAAATTGTACAAAGCTCTGCTGTTATGGTGCTAATCTCTCCCAACGTCTCCACAAACATAGAGCGCTGTGATTGCCCTAGCCTACACTTAGCTGAGCCAATGGTAGACCTGCTGAATGGAGCGTGACTAGACCAACCTGCAGAGCTAAAACATTTGCTACTGCTATAGTTTGTCTAGATTTCAAGGCTACCAGTTTTTAGCATTAAGCTTTAACCAGATAAAAACAGATGTGAATCACAAAGGAACTAAAGAGCTGAACTGAAGATTTTGGCAACCTTGAGTCGGTTTTTGAGATTTTATCTCTGTTAACCTTTTGGAGTGTAAAGCTCTGCTGGATTTACCATTTAGAATATCTGTTGGGTCTGTCAGTGAGAAAAGAAAGATTAGCCGCTGCGGGCTGCAAATTACCGCACAAGAAAAGATGTGAAAATCACATCAAAAAGGATCAAATCAGCACATTATTAAGGCTGGTTTACAAAAGAGTGATAAATTGCACCTACTGTTGAACGTTCTGATTTGCCACCATATCTGGAAACACACAGCTGTAGTATTCAGCACCCTCTCATGGGAATCTTTGTGCTTTGCTGTTAATAACAATTAAAGACCATTAGATTCCTGAAGCATAACAGTTTACTATCTTCCTCTCTCACAGTTATCAGATGTCAAACAGCTGGGGAGTCTATGTATCTGTTCATTTCCAAGAACTCTGTCAATAATCATGTTTGTTTATGGCAACTCTTCCCGTCTACCCACACCAACCACCTCCTTTGTGCTGTTAGATTCTCTTGGGTCTAATTTAGCTTTGTTGGGGTGAGGTGGGGTGGGGGTATATGCATTTTTCAGATCGAAACTATTTTCCATGTAGTGAGTGATTAATCTGATGACAGTGAAAGGCTAATAAATGGAGTGCTTAGATAAATAGTTGCTAGTACTGCTAATACCTCTGTATAAGTTTGGATCACAGCTTTACTGGATATGGGTATATCATAGGGCTGCACGATATTAGGAAAACCTGTGACGCATGATAACAGTGATTAATATTGTGATGATGACATGACTTGCATTAAATAAACAAATGCTTAACTCAAGAACAAAAAATCAAAAACATAGAAATAAAAAAAAATGATCATAAATGTTTTTTATGACTAAAAAAGCAAAAAAATGTGATTAGAGGGTATGAGGAAAGGGAAAAGGAAAAATTAACAAGAAAATGCAAACAGTGGATCCTGGGAAAAACAGAATCGGCAGAAAGGGCAGAATGAAGTGTTTACTAGCTGTCGTCCATCTTGGGGGCAGGCATCTAACCTATAACAACGGGTGCTTGTTGCTCACTTCCCTTCAGACGACGCAGAGGAAGAACTGACACATGTTTGAAGATGACTCACTGTTACATGCTGCTGCAGGTGTATCATAGCATGTCAGACTTATTATTTTGAACCCAATAAAAATTAGCTGTGCTGAGTTCAGAGTCAGGAGAATGAACTGTCACCCTTATCTCACTGCTCCGGTCTTCCTGCCTTCTCCTCATGTTCCAGACTCTCCTGTTGCTTCCTAACTCTCAGATGAACTCTGAGATTACTGCACTTATGGGTCTTTGTCCTTTTGTCCACAGAAAGAAGCAACACCTGGAGTAGGACTTGGATCGACGGGAAAGGACTGTGGCTTTAGTAAAGAAAGAAAAGCAGAACTGTAAGTGAACGGCACAGTTCTGCTTTGGCTGCACTTGTAAAATGTTCTGTTCTGGTGGCAAGTACAGCTTGCACTTGTCTTTTCATACAGTTTAAAGTAACATGTAACTAGAAACTCAAAATAATGTCTTTTGAGATGATTTTTTCTGATTTGAAATAACTCAGAAATATCTGAGCACCGGGTAGATTAGTGTGTCATTTAATGGAATAAAGAAGGTATATGGTCCGACAACATGGGAGACAAGACACCCGTGTTTTACTGTTAGCTTCTCAGGCAGGATGCAGACCTTTCACACTTAACACTCGAGACGAAAGGAAGTCATAAGGCATGAGTAGAGTGATGCATCTTTCTTTATGTTGGCTTAGATGTGTTACCAAATTTTGATGTGATGTATGATGTGTTAAAATAGCACCTTCTGTTCTCCTGATCATATCATTAGTTATTTATGTCCAAACCTAAAGGTGTCCTCCAAGTAATCATCTGTAATTGCTGTTTGCCCTTTAACCGGACTTTTCCACCAGACCAATGTGTAGTACGCAGCAATTGGCTGCCGTTAGGTGAATGGATGCATTTTTACTGGCTGCGAAGCGATGCGTTTTGCATAGAGAAGTGTAGGGATGTGTTGCTCTGCTAAATTTACACTTCAAGCCTGTTTTTTACATGCTGCGAAACCTCCGTAGCCATGGCAAATGAAGCAAAACAAACCACAGACCTTTTTGGATACATTCTGCTGTCTCTTTCTGAACTTGTTATTGCGGGAACTGCTGGAATCACGCGTGGTCTGGCAATCCTCCGGTCATTTCATGACCTCACTGTGTGGATCGCTTTCTCCTGCCATTTTGCATTTGAAGCTCTCCTAATGGGATGGGAGCACTGGTAAAATGGCCACCACCTTTTTTTCCCATGCTATAATGTCACGAATAACATAAGTTAATGCACACAAATTCTGAAGCTGAATCAGTTTTTGAATTCTGAATTTAACTACCTGTTAAATCAGAACATTGTGCATTGATCAGTGTTAAAACAGACACCCACATAAAGTGAATTAGAGTATTTGTTATGCAGATGTTGTTAGTGAATGTCAAAATACATTTAAATTCAATTCTGCTACAACACCGAGCAGCCTGAGGATGCCTGACTTTATATTGGATTCACTACGGACGAACATTGGCGATGCCGAAGTGTAAAAATTGATAAACATCGGCCCGATGTATTGGCCGACTCGTATATCGGTCTACCCTTTGTGGAAATTCTGGGTATTTCCAACTTTTCTTTAACTCCCTTATTATTACTACTGGATTCCTCTTGCAAATTTTGAGCTGCTTTTCCACTCATGTGGCCATCTTTGAGGTTGGTAAGGACACATTGGTAAGGCTTGTTAAAGCGTGTTTGCTGCGTTTTAATCAAATCAAAACAGATCTTCAAGCTAGGGTTGTGCAATCTGACGATATCAGATCGTTAAGGATCATAAAGTGATGACGATCTGTCAGGGCTGGGCAATATGGTCTAAAATCAATATCACGATATATTGAGGATTTCACCTCGATAACGATAACTACAGGTATGTGCAGAAACTAAAGTTGTCCACTAGATGGGGCTGTCACATGTATTACGTTGAGTCACATTTTTACCTGACTCAAGGTGGAACAGCTTCTTAAAGGGACATGAACGTTACCAACCTACACACATATTTTCATTTTTTTTATTATCAAATTTATTGACTTGGGAACATTTTTTTCTAAGAGTCAGAAATTTCAATAACAAAAAATTTTCTATTTATTGCCCAGCCCTACGATCGGAGATTGTAGAATCATCTATTTGTGTTCTTTCACCTGTGTCATTATTTCTGGACACGTCTAGGAAGGACATGGGGGACATGTCGCCACCCCCCCCCCCCCCCCCCCCCCCCCCACACACACACACAACCCCCCCAACCCCCCCACCCCCCCACCCCCACCCACCCACCTTTTCCAAAGTCAAGTTTTGACCATTGCACTTTTGGCCATCCAAAAACAATGTTACACAACCAGTGTCTATTATAATAGACACTGGTTGATCTCTAGGACCAAGTGGAAAACAACCACTAGTGTTGAAGCCCGTTTCCCATTAGAACATACTGTAAAGATACACCAATCTTTTTACATTAATTATATAATATAATGAAATTATCTGTGGGAAAAGGGTAGAATGCCTTCCCCGGGTCAGGGATGAGGTCCTGCCCCAAGTGGAGGAGTTTAACGTATCTCGGGGTCTTGTTCACGAATGGAGTACGAGATTGATAGGCGGATTGATGCGGGCATTGTACCGGTCTGTCGTGGTGAAGAGAGAGCTGAGCCAGAAGGCAAAGCTCTCGATTTACCGGTCGATCTACGTTCCTACCCTCCCCTATGGTTGTGAGCTTTGGTAGTGACCGAAAGAACAAGATCGTGGATACAAGCGGCCGAAAAGAGTTTTCTCCGAAGAGTGGCTGGGCTCTCCCTTAAGCCGGGCGTACACTGTGCGACTTTTTCACTTTTTTGAGCCGATTTTCCAGTCGTGCGAGAATCCACGACATCAGGGCGAGTTTTGCGCCGAGCGGTCGTGTAGTGTACAGGGGGTTACGAGAGGCAATTAACACCACGTGACCAGCTGCCGATCAGCAGTCGTGAGGTCGCACGGACTTTTGGAGTGTTTAATATTTCGCTCGTCCCTCGTGAGGGTATCACACTGTTGAAGCGGCGCTGCGACCCAAAAAGTATCAGAACCGCTCAGCGGCGCATACGCAATCCTGCATCAACGCCGCTCGCTATTTCCCTAATAACACACGCTCTTCGTTTTTGTTTCTACACGTTTTTTTACTCACAATGATTGTCAAGAAAGCGTGTTTGTCGTGTTCATGTCAAATTAAACTGATCACAAAACACAGATTTACTTTCTTTATTTCATTTTCCTCATCCAACCCCCATAAATCCCTGTGTGTCCTCCTGCAGCACTCCCGAAGGACAACAGGCAAAACAAAAAAGTCTGACGTGTTGAGTAAAAACTGCTATTTTTAGCATATTTTTAGGGCAGACGTGTTGCTACCAGACGTACAGTGTGAGCACATGACTCGTGAGATCTGCTCTGCGAGGAAGTCGTACAGTTTGAGCTGAAGCTGAACGCTGCGAGTGAAAAAGTCGCACAGTGTACGCCCGGCTTTAGAAGGCAAAGCTCTCGATTTACCGGTCGATGTACGTTCCTACCATCGACATAAATATACCCTCACGAGCCTTGGGAAGCGACCGAAAGAAAGAGATTGCGGGTACAAGTAGCCAAAATGAGTTTTCTCCACAGGGTGGCTGGGCTCTCCCTTAGAGATAGGGTGAGAAGCTCGGTCACCCGGGAGGGGCTCGGAGTAGATTCGCTGCTCCTTCACATCGAGAGGAGCCAGTTGAGGTGGCTCGGGCATCTGGTCAGGATGCCTCCTGGACACCTCCCTGGTGAGGTTTTCCGGGCACGTCCAACCAGGAGGAGGCCTAAAGGTAGACCCAGGACACGGTGGAGGGACTATGTCTCTCAGTTGGCCCGAGTGGCTGGGGAGAGGGAAGTCTGGGCCTCTCGACTTAGGCTACTGCCCCCGCGACCCGACTCCGGATAAGCGGATGAAAATGGATGGATGGATGTCCATCCTCCAATCCCCATCCATGTCCTACAACTACGGCAAGCCTCAAAGACAATAGACATCAATAGACAACACAACAGTCTTCCTTTTTCTGGTTTTCTGGATTCTAATATTCTACTGTTTTTGCATATTTTTAGGTCTGATATTTTATTTGCAAACTTCTCAAATTTCTTTTATGAATCACATTAGATGAAAGCCACATATACATATTCAGCACACGTAAGTGATTCATGCTGCATGCACTTCAGGTGTTTCCTGTATACTTGGTGTTCAGAGCTGTGTGTGTGTGTGTGTGTGTGTGTGTGTGTGTGTTTGGGGGGGGGGGGGGGGGGTCCTTAAAGCCTAAGTGTGTGGTGTAAGTTGTGAATAATTAATTCGAGGCACGCGTTGGTGAATTAAAGGTAAAGTAATAGCACACCGCCCTACCTTCTCTGGCTTGCTGCTGCATTTTTAAACATGTGAATGGGCACTCAAATGTCTAAATGTTAACCTTGTTTTTTTCCTTTAAATCTCTAACTCGGTCTCAGGGTCCGGAAAGGGGACATTTGATAGGGAATTTGAATAATTCAGGATGATGGTTTGGGGGAGTTTGTTTTCATCTAAGTGCAACTTAGATGCATCTCTTTTTGTTCTGGAGACGAACGTCTGATATGACGATGACTGACAGAACTGTTTTACTGTTTAGGATTCAAAGCTGCAGGTTAATGACAGTGGCTGCTATAATCTGACTTTAGTAAATGATTCTTTATTGTTCTATTTCAATTGGTTTCATTACAAGAACAAATGACCCAGTCTTTTGTAGAACTGTTTCCTTATTGTCGACTCAAGATTCTTCTTCTTTAAGTTCTTAGAAAAGGTTTTCAAGCAAAAATAGCATTTTTCTTTATTGTATCACACTAATAGAGGATCTGCATTGCTGTCACTTTCTGAAAAGTGCTGTAAGATTAAATTAGAAACTGCTTTCTAAGCAGAGTGTTGAAAATGACAGAGATTTAGTTATTCTCTGTCTCTCCCTGATCACTCCCCCACCTCTCACCCACGCATTCCCTGTAAATAATTCAGAACAGCAGGTTTCACAGAATTGATGCTGGATGGAGACAGGATGGGAAACTGTTATAACATGTCCAATAGCTTTAAATTGTTCTATATACCCATCATGTTCTCAGCCTAAAGCCTGAATAAGGGTTAAGATGAAGAATCAGAGAAGGTAATCATTATTTATGGTTAGCGACTCTCAGAGGGTTTACATCATATTTTACTTATTGGAGAAATTGTACGTACACCCAATCAGCAAGACAAACATCATAGCTACTGAAACATTGTCATTAAACATCTTTCATGTGTTGCAAACAACCTGAAACCCTACCTGAGGAATCCCGGCCTTCTGCATAATGATCCGAGTCTCGTGTCCTTACCTCAAAGCTTTTCCAACTCTTTATGGAATTCAGATGTAAAAAAAAACATGTCGCAAAATTTATCAGCCTTGTTTCCATTAAAATCTGTTTCTTAACTGAAGAACAGCCAAGATGCAACCTTAACATGACATAATGTCGTTCCTGCTTTAGAGATAATCCAATCAAAGCTCATTTTTGACAGCACCTTTGTCAGATAGACTCTCGTAGCTCTACTAGTATTTTTTAAAGCATATTTGAGAAATTATGTAAATCGTTTAGTTGTATTTCACCATAAATATGTATTTAATATATATTTTTTATTTTCTCATTATAATCACATTCTTTTCTAAATGTATCCAATTTAATATCATGTTATGTATATTTGCTGCTTGTGTTTTATGTAAACATGATGTTTTCAGCTTCTGGTTGCCTTGCTGGAGTTTGCAGCCTTTGCCCACTAGAGTGCAGCCTTCTCAGAGAAACATCTGTCCACAGCTCGTGTGTGTGTGGTGTTTTTTAAAGTATTATTTATTTTGTTGACACTTTGTCTTGACTAAACACGTTTGAACAGTAGCAGGACAAATAATCAACATAAACAAAGAGCAAATTTGACTTGAGTATTTTGTTCTTCAGCTTTTCATTGTTTGGATTTTAATCCTCATTAATGACTGGATTTAAAACCATTTGATGCACTTATTGGTTTTAAGAGATGGTTTTGCTTTTGTGCAGATGAATTACCCCGTGGGCATATTTTATGTAAGGATAAACGACCCCTCCCCTCAGATTTTACATCCCTAGTTTGTTACCAGGGGGGAAAAAAACAATAAAACCTTTAATTTCGAGTAAATAAAAAATCCACACAAAAACAGGTAACGTTTTTATGATGATGATGATGATGATGATGATGATAATGAAAATAGTAATAGCATTGATTTTCAGTCTACCTGTTTGCCGAGGTGTCACTGCCCCCTCCAGCTGCAGCCGGGTCTTCCTGTGAGACCCGGTGCCGCGGTGCAGCGAGTCTCTGCTTTATGGATCAATACTGAAGCAGTGAGCTGACACAGTGAAAAGCGATATTCATACATAATTAATAGGGCGCTGTTTCACCCTGCTTTGTCTTTAAGTCCTGGGCAAGAAAAGAACAAACCTGTAAACAAGCACAGAAGAAACATCCAGTCGTCCGCTGCTCTTTAAACTGTTGCTTGGTGTAAGAGATGGGAAGCAGATGCTACCAAGCCATTTACTTTATACTGTAAGACATATTTATATGTTATTTTCAGTTTTAGGAGTATGTCTCTGTTTTGTTGTTTTCATTTCTCTGCTCATGTGGAACGTGTTCCGGGAGATGACATCCCAACGTTTCAGTCGATTTCAGGCACAGAATCACAGCGAGCGGCTTCCTGAAGCATCACTTCCATCAGCAGCACAAAGATGTCAGCAAACAGCAGCAATTATGCTTTTCACAACCTATGTGCTGGGTGAAACTGGCTGTTAGTCTCTGAAGGTTTTCATCTATTGAATAGAGAATATTGTCAGTTTATTATTGTCTTTGTGAGGTGACTTGAGCAAGTCCAGAGCTGTTGGGTTTGTTGTACTCACAGCTTTTTCTTTCCATACATTTAGAGTTTAACCTGCTCAGTCTGTATTTAAAATAAACAACCAGAAGTTTTCTAAAGTGACAGATGTGAACGTAGGCTGTACACAAACCGAGTTAGCAGACAGATAAAGGAGTGATGAGAGGTAGGAGTCTGGATGAAGGTCTTTGAGCTTTCATAAACCCAACACACACAACAAAGATCTGTGATTCAAAGGTAAATAGTTGTGCGGAAGTCTGCAGCTATTGTTCTCATCAGTGCATGGCAATAAATGATAAAGTGCAAGTGAAACAGTCTGTTGCTTTCAAATATTCTGATCTATCGTTCAGGGTCTGTTAGGCGAATAAATGTTCACGTGTATCTTTCTCAAAATATGAAACAAATCCCAAGTTTATCAGGTGGAACGGAGAAGGGGAATTCTATTTAAAAAGAAATGTGGATTTTAATTTCCCCATTGTATTTATTTGCCATTAAAATGACAGATTGGTGAGATGTTGAAACGACTCAGATGCTGCGAGGCTCAAATGAAATGAGCCGACTTTATGTTCAGGTTTCACACTTGGCTTCAGTGAAGCTCCACCTACACCCCCTCAGATAACGCATGCCTACAACAGCATCTTAGGCAAGCTGGTTACTGTGTTGGCTATGGGTTCGGCAGTAATTTATGTAGCCAGCTGAAGCAGATTTCATCTTTTTATGTTTTAGTATTATTGATTATTTTTAGCAAAATATTTAGCGTCTCTAAAGACGTTAGAATTTGGTCCAAGCAGCATTTTAATTGATTTACTCTGCTCACCTCACATGGACTCACACTGGCTAAATAAAGAAAGCAAAGAACACATATTAGTCCTTATATTTTCAACAGTTTACCAATAAAGGGTTGAAAACATCATACTGGCAAGTGTTGATACTGGGACGTGAACCTGCACAAAACTACATCCCAGCCCAGCCCAGCCCAGCCCAGCCCAGCACAGCACAGCCCAGCACAGCACAGCCCAGCCCAGCCCAGCCCAGCACAGCCCAGCACAGCACAGCACAGCCCAGCACAGCACAGCACAGCCCAGCCCAGCCCAGCCCAGCCCAGCCCAGCCCAGCCCAGCACAGCACACTTGGCACTAGACTACCAAGTCTGTTGCATAACACTTGTTGCCTAAGCTGGCCAAGGGAGACCGGTTTCAGACCGGAGACTGGCTTCTGAGGGAGGAGCAGGTCCTGATGTTTGGAGCAGGAAGAAGGAGTGACGTACAACTTATACATGTGGCCATTTCACGAATTTCACTATAAAATTCAAAATTTGCAGCTGAAACAGAAAAAGGCATGAATGCAGGCAACCCTGCCAACAATGGGTTTGGGGATATTTTTCATGAGAAAGCAACAGTGTTACATACTAAAAAGCTCCAACAAATGGATTTTCCATTATATGACCCCTTTAAGCACCAACAAGAAATGCACCCTCAAAAGACTGATTTAAGAAGGGCTGCTGATTTGATTGGATGCCTGGTGAATGAGCATTAGATTGGTGTTATTATAGAAACTCACCTACTCAGGTCAAAGCACTGAGGTGTCTTTTGAATAGTTTCCTAGTTAAATAGACATTAGATCTTTTCTGGTGTTTTATTTCTGTCCAGCTGGTTTTCTGACATCACTCAGCCAGATCCTTATGCACAAATATGGTTACGTCTGGTTTTCTGCAGACCAACGATGTTGAAGGCTTCTTGCCAAACTCCGAGCTTCAGATTGGTAGTTCATGAGTCAGAGCTTGACGTCATGTAACTTGACCACTTCATCCAGTCTATTCATTTCCATTTTCTCCTTTTTCTGTCTCCTTGGATTAGACATGATGACAGGCGTTGATTTTGGTTTAGTCATTCAGCAATGTTGGGTTTGCTATTAATAGCCAGCGGTTGCTGTTAGTTTTACAGTAGACTCTTTCTCAGTCTATCATCCTTCCATCTTTCTCTTCCCACCACTGCTGCTCCTCCTACTTGCCTTCTCTTCTTAAAGCTTCCTGACTTCATCAGCTGTGGTAACCATTAGCTTTTGTGCTGAGTAATGTTCATTTTTCCTTCTCCAGTCTGAACATCCGTGGAGAGATGACCAAGAATGCTCGGGGTTACTCAGATAGGATAAAAGAAATATTCCTTATTTGAATTTGCTAACAGAAACTATACATGTCTGATCTAATGTCGCTGATGCTAAATCACTGCATTGACATCTAATTGCAGTTTTTCTGATTGACTTTTTAGTTTGTCTTAATCAGTTGGAAAAACTGTCACCTTCTGAAGATTTTCTCCTTTTCAAAGCATCTTTTCAGTTAAAACATCATTGCAGTAATCAGCAGTGCATTCAGACCCCTGTGACAGATTATTACCATAATACTCCCGTCTCCTGAATGCTTACCCAGAACCCCTCCCCCATACTGGATCCTCACTACTTATCAGTCCTTCTAGTGTGCACAGAGTGGCTTGAATTTCTTGTAATAATCTGTCCACGGCTTCCTCAATTAACTGAGCAACCAGGAGCTCAGATTTCACACAGGAAAAAGCACTTTTATCTGCAACTTGGAGGAGTTCAGGCTGAGTGGTTTACCTCTGGTGGTGGTGGGGGGTACAGTGGTGGCAGCAGCACTCACAGGGATAGCTTCCTCAGAGCACAACAGTCAGAGGCAGCGGAGGGAGCAGGAGGAGACAGATGGAGATGGTGTGAGACAGGGAGCGAGTGGTGGCAGACGCTGTGTTCTGTGTAGCAATCAAAGGAAGGTGTTTAGTGGACGGAAGTGAGTTTGGCAGCAGTGGGGGTGTTACAGCAGAAGGCACTGCTTTAAGACAGTCGTGTGGTAAAAGGAGTAGAGAAAGTGATCATGAGGGGAAATGGACTGACAAATTATAGTTCTGAACTCAAGCACCTCCACCAAGGTGAGCATCTGCATGTGTGCTCTCTGTAGCACAAACCTGAGCCCAGTCTGTGACGGAATACCTGTGGATCGGCACCATGTGGATTACAGCCCAGCTCTGAGGACCAGGAAGTAGCTGCGTCGTTTTCTCCACACATCTTCTTACCTCAGAACAGCCAGGTTCCTAATGAGCAAGTCGATGTGTGGCTGTGGCTGCAGCATCATCTCCTCCCTGATGAAGAGACTGGGCCGCACAGCTTGCTGCTCAGATCTCCTCTCCTGCAGCCACACTTCAGAGCAGCTGCAGCGCCTGGCCACCGGCTGTCCGCCTCGACCAAAGGTAACAGCGTGCCGCTCCCAGTCGCACGGCTGCCTCAGCGCGGCAGAATTGTTATTTATGTGCAACACAAGAGCCACGCGGTGCATGATAGCATATCGCAGAAAGCACTGGCCTTAAAGTACAGTGTTCCGCTTTGTTTGGCTGTCTAAAGATTTTTCAGGTAAATAACTGCACACACAGGAGGGAAGAGCTGTAATTGATTCTTTAATGGAGCCAGGTGATTTAGTAACAGTCTAGCTGCCTCGACAACATGCTCTCAGTTTGAACTTCCCTTTAAATGATGCCTTCACACTGCTTGTGGTTGTCCGCTCCGCCTCAACTACAGAAAAAGCTTTATCCGATGGAGCAAATGAAAACAAACATTTTGTGAGTGCCGAGTCCTTGTGTGCATGTGCTGGTGTATAAATGAGAGTCTGACTGGCTTCCGTCTCACAGCCTCCAGACTTCCTCTTGCTTTGTTGCATTTTGTGCACGACTGTTTCGGCTGGCGCTGAATAGAATTTAGACTCTTCAGAGTCTCTTCTGGCAGTTTGCCTTTCTGGTTCGAAAACCCTCCTGAGTAATGATTACAATCCACAGAGGAAAATGTTGCATTATTGAGCTGTTGCATGGCAACAATCCAAAGGAAAATGGATAATGAGTGACAGTTCTAGAGAAGGAGTATTGGTCACAGACGAATTCCCTCATTTTACTTCTGCTGCACACAAAAATAATGTTTTGGTGTGGGTAAATGTGGAAAAATATTGTCCCTCTGTGAAGCAATTTCAGCTCTTCCTTTGATGCATCACAGGACACCGGCTCAAAATAGAACCATCAGTTAATGGCTCTTATGTTGAACTGAAGCCACGAATGTTCCGACTAACTTTGTGTTCAGATTTGGGAAGAATAATAGAAAAATGTTAGAAAGCTCACTTTTAAGATGCTGGAAAATACTCAGCCGTTGGAATATTTTATTCTTGTAATGATTTACCACCACTATGCCTCCCACTGGTAATATTGTGGAAGTGATGTAGAGCTTTTGTGCGTCTGCTGTCCACTACATTGTAAACTACTGTACTCACTGATTTTCAGCTCTCTCCAACTGTTCTGAGGTCACTCTGATGACTTCTAGCATGTTTGCCATATCCAGTATCCTCCTGTATATCAGGTTTTGTCCATTTCAAAGTGAGACATGTTCACAGTGATTATCTGAAGCTTGAGCAGCATCGTTATTAAAGCTAAAGATGATGGAACCACTAGACCTCTGTGTTTGAGTGATCTAGAATGGTAGGGGTGTGTACTGGCAAACATCTGGCGATTCAATGATACGATATATAATAATTATAAATTATACAATAATTATATAAAACTTTAATAATTGTGATACTAAAAGCAAGATTATTTATAGAATAGAATAGAATAGAATAGAATAGAATAGAATAGAGGCTGAAGAGTCCAAAATTCCCACAGAAGGAATGCTGACAAATGTTTTGAAATCCCTCCCCCAATCCTGGTTGAAACTGTGACGCGCTCGGTTGGCCTCTGGGTGATCTGGGTGAGACCACAGACTCTTCAGGGACTCGATGCACTCTCCATTCCTCGAATCTTCTCCACACCTCTGAGCATTGGGGATTGAAGTGCGGATGCTGCATGCTCTCGTCTGTTTGGGGGATCCCAGCCCCTCCCCCCACCCAGCGGACATGTTGTTACTGTCCGAGTTTGTGCTTTAGAGTTTTGGCGTGTTTTTTCCTGCAAGCCATTTCTGGATCCTGCAGGGAACAGAGTAGGGACCATGTTTTCTTCTCCTTGTCCCTCCCCACTCTTGTGTGACCCCTGTTTCCTTACCTCGAAAATGGTTGTACTGAAACTACACCTCATTGTATTTGGAGATGGGTTCGATGACATTAAACTTCTATTAACATGAAAAATCATGATATCTATTACAGATTAGCCGACTGATTAATGGAAACAAATTTACAAAAATGTAACTAAAATAGAAATAAAATTACATAAATATGTTGGCAAATTTCCTAAAAAAATGAGGGAAAGCAAAAAAACAAATTCCAATTTAACTCATTCACTGCCATTGACGACTAAAGTCGTCATTTGCATTTTTTTTACTGTGTGGGCATCGGAACGAGCCCCCGCACCATGAGAACAAACATCCCAGCTCTAAAACTGATCTTCATCCACATACGTCACACATCACGTGATCAGGAAGCATGTGTTAGGAGATCGTTTTGGGCCGCTGCTGTAACAAAGTGAGGCGCGAAGCTGAAAAGCTTCTGCTGATCACAATTCAACAACGGATTTTAAAAGAACGGATAACACTCGAAACGCCACCTCTTACTGATGTAAGAGGTGGGTCGCTTCTTTGTTTTGGTAGTGTTGGCGTTGACATCATCCTAGCGCGCAACGTTTTTGACTCTTAAAAAAACAGTAAACATGCTGAGAAGCGCTGGCAGCGAATGGCTTAAAGTCAAGGTCGAGTGTCTTTAAATGAAAACAAAAGGGTCTAAGTGGAAGAGAATGAAATCTCGTAGTGCAAGGTGACGATGTCCACATATGTGGACACAGGGCCCTAGGACGTTAAAGCAACACTAAAGAGTTTCTCCGCTTCTTTGTCCTAATGGTTGAAAGTGGAATTACAACCGTTTTAAGAGGTGTTCCCATCACGTATTTTTGCTCCAGATCCGATTCCGAGTCATTTTCTTTTGAGTATCTGCCAGTACCGATTCCCGATCTGATACTTTTCAGAAAATCATTAAAATTATAAGAAAAAAAAATTATTTTCATGAAGTAATTTAAGCTCTCTTGAGGAGACATGTTAGCTTTGTGTTAGCCTGCTTGCTAACATCTGCATCTTGGTGCCTGAATCCCTGCCTGCCATAAATTGTGTGACGTTGAGGTGTTTTCCAGTTATATTGATGTAGATGAACTTATTGAAATTAAAACTAAGCCATTGTTGTTCCGTTAGAAAATTTCAATCTCAGGTTGAATTTAAATGGTCGTGTTTGTTGTTTTAAACGGTTAAGTCCAATATTCTTTTCCCGATCTTTTTCAAACCACGTGATTGGATTGGAGTATCCCCAGTTGTAAACAACCCTGCTGCCTGCTGAAGTTAGCGCTAACAATGAGCTAACACTAACACGAGCCAATTGATACTTGTCTTTTATTCTTGTGCAGCTCTTTGGTAGGCTGCTTCGCGGTATATAAAAAAACATTATAAATAAATATGCTATACTGTACAGCCGACATCAAATCTGACTGACAGCTCACAGCAACATGTGTGGGAGGAGAGTGTTACTCAATAATGAAGACAACTGCACAAATAACAGATTTTTGCTTTGTTTTTAAATTAGAATTGGCATTTACCAGCTTTTGTCAGCCAATTGACCACGTTTGATTTAAATCCTGATGAGGTCTTTTATAAGCCACTGGAATGTGTAAAATTTGGTTCCAGTATCAGCAAATGAATTTGTCCTCTGCCATCCCTAAAGACACACAGAACGGTTTTAACTCTTTATGTGCACAAGCCGCATCATGTCTCATTGGATCAGGTTACAGTTTTCAACGCACGCACGCACGCACGCACGCACGCACGCACGCACACACACACACACACAGACACACACACACACACACACACACACACACACACACACACACACAGGTATGGCGTAGTGCTGCTCGGCTGTAGACCTTACAGCATCCACCCGGCTCACTAACACACCTTTAACATGGCTGTTAGTCGTCCTCTGTGATAAAGTTTCATGAGCGTTGCTAACTTTTTCAGCTCGTCTTTAGTCTCTAAACAACTGACTCTAGATAGTCTATTTCTCTCATGATCTAGGGCTGCTCACGTAGTCGCTCATTACATCTTTCCTTCGGGTGTTGCCTAGCAACAAGTGTTGCATTTTCACCTCATTTAGTCCTATCTTTCCTTATTTCCTATATTTAACATTTAAGTAAACATCAGCTTAGATAGCTGTAGAAACCCGTTATAGACTTGAGGTTGTTGGTAGTATTCTAAATATACAGCCTGAAGATAGTGAAGTATAATTTTAGATTGACATTCATAATTACGATGTGTACGGCATTGCCTTTTTTCAAAAGTTTGATGAATACATCCACCGTAGATTAATTTTATGATGCACCCATTAATCCTGAGCCTTGTTTTTCCTGTTCATGAACAAAACTGCTGTAAACAAAGCATGAATTCTTGTTATCCTAATAACATAACAGCTCTGACATTGTTTTCTGCTTGTTTCTCTCGGCTTTTCTATTAGGAGGCAGATTCACACCTGCCCTCCTTTATTTCCCAAAGCTATCTTGGCCCACTTCACCGCTCCTGCTGGACTAAGAATAGAGACTGATGAATGAAACTTGTGTTTGTGAAGTGCCGCGTGGAGCAACAAACTTAACCTTCCTGAATGTGAGCTTCTACAAAACAATCGAATCTCTTTAGAGGATTTACGAGGTGAACTGTTGGTGTGATTATACAGCCAACCAAAATGCTTTTATTTTCTTTACATTATTGTTACATAGGTCAACTGTTCTTGCCAGTGCTCTAAAATAGAAGAGAAAAAAATTCCTGTCATTGCATTTAACACCAGTAGGTAAAAGGAATGGAGAAAAAACAAGAAAATTTTTTAAAAACTACAAAAATGAAGTCTGGAAAAGTTAGGTGCAGAACACACATCAAAATGAAAATTCTAAAACAGTTTATGTGATGATACTTCCCAGGTGATGGCTTGAGTGGGATGGATCTGTGGGGTGCTGTGAGACAAAGGTAGCTGCAGATTTTCTCCATGGTGGGCAGAGAACAGGGCATCACGATTTCTTTTCCTGCTGTGGAGATGACCATCTGTAGGACTTTCTTTTTCTGCAAAAGAGAAGCTGGCAAACTATGTTGAGACGCAGTAACTCAGCACACACTCAACAGAACAGCAGTGGAGAGACAACAGTTCCTCAGCCAGCTGGGTTTCCTTAGTGTTCTTGGGAAGTAAAACCACTGCTGT